TGTGTGTGTGTGTGTGTGTGTGGATGAAATGAACAGAATTTTGTTTCAAATATTAATTATTACATAGTGATTATTTGTACATAGTTAATAAATAAAGAAAATACTAAGAATCATGTATTGCACTTTTTGAGAGTGAAGTTTCCAGGATTTTGGTTAGGGTCTCCAACAGCACATTACGTACGCGGTCATTTTCGATCATCTTCTCCAAGATCTTGTTCCTCTTTTTATCGTTCTCTACCATCATTAAAGCAACATCTGCAAATTTACTTGCTGTTTCTGCCTGCAGCTGCGTGCCTCGAGCTACAATCTGCAATGTTCAGACACGATAATTAATTTATTATAAATACCGAAAATATGTGTATGTTATTTAAAAGTTGACGAAAGATATTGGTGGGTAATTATACATATCCATCGTTTGAGCGATCTGCTGCTCGATCGCCTGAAAAGTTTCTCTGGCTTCCGCGAATTGAACGCCAAGCCTATCCGTATTGATCCCTGAAATAATAATAATACATATAGAAATATGTTGATTATGAGACAAAGTAGACATTGCACATTATGACAAACGCATATATGCATATATATTTGGTCTAAAAGTTCGGAAGGTTCGGAAAGTTCTATCCGATAGTGTTATCTCAAGTTTCAATACATATGAACGTGTTCATTTGAAACATATATGCCTCTATTTACCATTGTATTTCTACATATGTGCTCTTCAAAATGTACTGAAATGTACTGAAATTTACTGAAACAATTTCATCATCTCAGTATTAAGTGAGATTTGTTAGCGTAAACATGTCTATTAATAAAGTTTATTTACGACATTGCATTCTATATGAATTCTAACAAAGTAGAAATGTCACAGAAGCATGTAGAAATTTGGTGAACGTTTTTGATGAAGATATAGTTTTCGACAGAACGTGCAGGAGATGGTTCGAAAAATTTGAAGCAGACGATTTCGATTTTAATGATAAACTCTCTGGAAAACCATTTCTAATCAATGACGATATTGTTAGGACTATTATACAGCAAAATCCTTTTTTACAACATCGGAGATTGCGGAAAAGCTGGGAAGAGGTCATTAATAACGATGAAAATTATATTATTCAGTAAATATTAATAAATGTATTGAAAATTATATTATTCAGTAAATATTAATAAATGTATTGAAAATTATATTATTCAGTAAATATTAATAAATGTATTGAAAATTATATTATTCAGTAAATATTAATAAATGTATTGAAAATTATATTATTCAGTAAATATTAATAAATGTATTGAAAATTATATTATTCAGTAAATATTAATAAATGTATTGAAAATTATATTATTCAGTAAATATTAATAAATGTATTGAAAATTATATTATTCAGTAAATATTAATAAATGTATTGAAAATTATATTATTCAGTAAATATTAATAAATGTATTGAAAATTATATTATTCAGTAAATATTAATAAATGTATTGAAAATGTATTATTTTTTTTTAATTTCAAAACGGGCAAAACTTTTTGGTAGACCTATTTAGAGTAGTCAAGAAAGATTGTTTAGAATTTTAAAAATAATAATTTGATAATAAACAAGAAAATATCATGTGAAATTGATTTCATTAATCGATCTAAAAGTCAAATAATTATTGTATTTCTGAATATTTGACACAGCTTTCTTTTTGGCTCAGTTTTTTCATTATACAATTTTATTTAACTCTTCAATGTAAAAATACATTACAAATTGAACAACTTTGTCTATGTCTTTCTTTGCTTCGAAATAATGAGAATACTACTTTTCAAATTGCAAAACATTTGGTAAAAATGACATTTCTTTTTGATGAATATACATATGTAGTATACAGAGCGTAAATGAAATAGATTCTTACTAAGTCACTATATTATTATGTATTATATATATTATATATATTAGTATACTTATTTCTTGTTTTCCTAGGAACAGAAATAGGTGTACGTGTGGGAACAGATAATTCTTCCAATATCTCAATATTATTATCTAAGGCTATTGTTTCGTCCTCACCAGATATTGTGGGAGAGTCTTGTATATTATTCATTTTGTATACATTGTCGGAACGACACGACAGGATCACAGGTACTTTATCGAGTATGTTTGTGTTTCCTGATGCTAGCAACTCATTTATATTCTCCTACACAAAATAGCGATGAGATTATTATATTATGGTATATCCAGAATATAGGAAAATTTAAAAGACCATTGATTTATACAATGCAGTATAGAAAATAAAATGTTAATTAATATTTAGCATATCACCTGCTCTTCAGGGAAGCTGTCGACAGAATTATCCACTCCCTCAGCAAAAGCGTAGCCAATTATGCCCAATATTTTTTTGTCTAATTCTGTTAAATTGTTTTCAACAGGTCTATTGCCCGTCTGTGCACGAGCAGCACGTAGTTTTGAGGCCTTCTCTGATACTTTTGTTTTATTATCTCTCCATGTCTACAATAAGCATACTTTAATATATTTCAGGACACCCAGTTCTGCTGCATTAAATTAATTATAAATATATTTACTGTTTTCCAGGAAGCGACGTCTTTCTCTTTTCCACTTTTCGACATTGCATTTAGTTGGTTGACTAATTCCTCCCAACTTCCTTCAAGGTTGGCTCGTCCTTGCAAAGAAGTGAATTTGCCAGTTGCGACATAGGGATGAAGTACAAAATAATCCACCATTGCTCCTTTGTTGCTCGTCCTTGTCTCTTTTTTTTTACTGGTGGTTCTGATGACCTATCACAAATATATACAATCTTAAGATATACAATCTTAAGATATACACATACTGTTATTTATTCAGCTATGATTTTACAAATATTCAAATGCTCTCTAATGGCCAATTTATTCACCTGTGGTTAATTTTGGACTAAAACAAAATGGTCGAAACTTGTGAATTTAAGACAATATCTTATGTTCAAAGTTTTTATCTTGAGGTAACACATAACTATTTATTGTATGTTATCTCAAGACAAAAACTTTGAACATAAGACATTGTCTTAAACTAACAAATTTCAATCATTCTACTTTGGCCTTTTATTTACAGATTATTCCATTGTAATTGATCAATCATATTTATCATTGATATGAATTAATCAACTAAGGTTGACACTTTACTTCTAAATAAAGTTAACCGGGTTTAAGACATTGAATATAAATCTGAATCGGCAAAATACCACTGAAATTAATGACTTACTGTTTGAGATTTAGAGGGTGTATAAATGGTTTATTTACTGCAAAATAAAACTGTATAGTCCACTATGGCATGCTTACATTTTGCACATATCATCGGTATGACTCGGTTCACTTGTAATATACGTTCTTCTTCTTCTTCTTCTTCTCAATTTTGGGTAAGAAGAGTTGTATAAAAACTCTCCTGCAACCAGTTGAGTGATAAAATGCAGAGTTATGGTAAAAGGACGTATTGAAAGTAATATTATTTCCAAAAACAATGAAGATTTGAATAAAACACGTCTGCCATCGGTAGATCCCGAACTGGAACTTTGTAACGTACAAATATTACAAATATTGAGATTAAAATTTTCAAGCACAATGGAATGAGCTATTTCTCATTGGTCCAAAAACAAAACTTCCATAGTGCTTTTATGAACGCATCGATGTTGTTACTGACATCGTTTGATGCAGTTTGTAACGATGTACAGTCGCTAACTGTAGTTACGGAATACCAACTTCCCCATACTGTCGGTAGCGCAAGCGACGATTTTCGATAACGGTAACTCAACGTCGGTTTTCGTTATCTTTTTAATGACTTACAGAATAGGCCTACAGGAGCGGTATTGAGAAGACGGTTCCGAGGATCGAGTTACATATCCGTGAGTCGATCTGCACGTGATTGAGATCTGATCGGGAAATCGGAAGATCGTAATCTCATCCAAATCTGATTTCGCGGCGGCTTATATACGCGAATCTCGCTTGATTCGCTGTATCCCGCAGATGTTCGGCGGCTTGTTTATTTCGCGTTTTTCTACGCGTTGTCGTTGCTTTTATTTGCGGTTGTTAGTGATGGTTTGCGCTGGAGGTCTAGTGCGGATCGTTACAAGAAGGTAAAAAAAACTATAAGAGAGCGAGATCGAAAGACAAGAGGAATATATGTAGTAAGTAAGAGAATGATAAATAAAAGAATTGATAATAAATAAATAAATTTTTCTTGTTTGCCGCGATAATTAATAAATATTGTTTAATATAGAATATAAGTATTGCTTACCCTTATAGAAATATCATACTAAGAATCATTGATAATTACTTATTATCCAGTATTTTTAATACTGAAAATAAGTAATTATCAATGATTCTTAGTATGATATTTCTATAAGGGTAGTATAGAACATAATATAGAATATAGAATATATATAATATAAAATAATTTATAAGGATATTAATTAGGATATTAACTAGGATACTTTTTATGTTATTTGTACTTTTATTATTATTAAACAAGGCAAAAAGAAAGTAAGAAGGAACAAAAGTACAAAAAGCAGGAAGAAAAAAAGAAAATATAAGGAGAGAAGATAGTACACAGATAGATAAAGAACAGAAAATAGAAACAAAGTAAGAACATAGAAAATAGAGAAATGCAAGATAGTAAAACAGGAAAAGTTACTTTTTAATGCATTATTACTACTCGTTATTCATACAAAAGTACGTTGTTATTGTTACATTTCATCATTAGATAGAAAGGAAGAGACAATGTTGCAAATAGAACCAGGGAGAGATTGTGTGAGAAAGTGAGAGAAATGGGGTGGGAGAGGGGGAAGAAGGGAGAGAAAGATGGGGAGGGGAGAGACAGAGAAAAAGAACTAAATGCAGTAAATATTGAACTGTTAGAAAAAAAACCAGTAAGAAAAATAAATACGGTGAGAATAAAAAGGTGAAAAAGAAAACAGGAGATATATTTAATGATAAAAGAAGGAAAGAATGTGTAGAGAGAGAAAGAAATATAAAAAAAAATATATATATAAATTATATTATCACTTATATTTATATTATATCTTTTATTTTTCTTTTGTTATATTTCTCTTTTTTTTATTGTTAATAAAGAATTAGAGAGAATTAGGGAAAATAAGAAAGAATAAGAGAAAATATAAGTGAATGAGAAAGAATGAAAGAGAATGGAAAGAATGAGAAAGGGTAGTAGAAAATTAAAGTGACTGAAAGAGTATGAGGGAGAATAAAATAGAATAAGAAAGAATGTTTAAGAATGAGAGAGAGTGAAGAAGAATTAGAGAGAATAAGAGAGAATGGGAGTGGGTAAAGCAGAATGAGAGAGTATGGGAGAGAATGCGAAAATATTAAAGAAAATGAGGGAGAATAAAGGAGAGTGAAAGAGAATGAGAGAGAAAGAGGAGAATGAGAAAGAGAGGTAATGAGAAAGAATGAAAGAAAATGACAGTGAATGAAAGAGAATGAGACAGAATGAAGAAAAATAAGAGAGAATGAGAGAAAATAAGGGAAAATGGGGGGAAAATAAGAGAGAATGAGAAAGAATGAGTGAGAATGAGAGAGAATGAGGAAGAAGAAATGAGAATAAGAATGAATTTGAAAAGAATGAAAGACAAAATGAGAGAAAATGGAAAAGTATGAGGAAGAATAAGAGAGTAGAATGAGGGAGAATGGAGGAATATTAAGAAAAATGAGAGAGAACAAATGAGAATTAGGGAGAATGAGTTTGAAATCGGTAAAAAAAATATAAAATTAATTTATGTGCTGTCCCAACAACAAAAGTATTATGAGCTGGACAGTTTTATAAGATCAGGAATGCTATATTTCACCGTAGATCAAGTATCAATGATGGTTATTACAAGAATGTGTAGAGAAGGAACCTCTAATGTCTTAAAGCTGATGATACGCAAATTAAAAAAAGGTCATGGCTAAGGGTTTCTAAGAATATTTATATACATTTCTTGCAGAAAATTAATAATAAATAAATATTTGTATATAATGAAGATATTTAGTAAAAGTAGTAAATACGACGAAGGTAGTGGTGAAAGAAGTCTTTTCTACTATTTATATTAAAAAAAAATACATCAATATTATTATTGAGATATAACAAAATAATATATTGAGATAATAACATTATTGTATGTGATATTATGATCATTTTCATTACAAGAGATAGAAAGAGAATTGTCAACAATAACATTTATTTCATTTTGTTCAAATTCAATCTTTTTCTGAATTACAGCTGATACGTAAATTAAGAAGAGGCAATAGATCAAACAATTTTGAGTATATTTTTTATACTGCAAATTGATAATAAAAAACACATAATATATACGTTTGTGTAAAAAGATTAGCAAAGAGGAATGGAGGTGGGACTTTTCCATCTTTTATAGTAATATAGAATAATTATGAAATTATTTCTATACGTTTTTTATTACAAGATGAAGAACTGTCGTCTTTATTTTAATTCTTTCAACTTCTGTGTGCATTATTGTCTGCATTGTAGCCGATATATAAATTTAAAAAGGCAATAACCAAAAGACATTAAAAATAGTTAATTTTTTGATGCAAAAAAATTTATAATCCAAAATACATAATGTATTACGTTACAACATTAGCAAGGAGGACTGTTGAAGGAGGTATGCTTGAACAATTCAACGGAAGTGGAGGTGGGACCTCTTCTATTTTTTATGAATTATTCTGAAATAAAATTTTAAGAACCTGCTTCTTATGTATATCTAAATATTCATAATGTCAAGTTCAATGTATAAAATTACTAACAAAAAAACTCATTTTTAGTGTTTAATATTATTTTGTAAAAAAGATGTGATATAAAAACAAAATTACTTTAAATAGAAATTTTAAAAAAGAAGCCAAGTGCCCGCGCGTTAGCATTAACTTTACAAAAAAGAATTGTTATAAATAAATTTACAATGTCCAAGTTTAATATATCAAGTTATTAAAGAAACTCGTTTTTAGTGCGTAATATTATTTTGAAAAAAAAGGTGATATAAAACCAAAAATTACTTTAAAACAAAAAAGAAACCAAGTGCACGGGCGTTAGCATCATTTACAAAAAAAATCGTTATAAATTTTACAAAAAAAAATCGTCATAAATAAATTTTACAATAAAGTCGTTATAAATAAACTTTACAAAAAAAAATCGTTATAAATAAATTACAACAAAAGCTCAGCCAAAAGATATTTGAAAAAATATTGTTCAAACTATCTCATTCAGATCAATTGTACTCTCGTGAATACTCTATTGAAAGATACAAGACAATTTTATGTACTCCTTTAATGATGTTACATTCGCCGAATGATTAATCATTTATTAATTTTATAAACATATATGGTTTTGGCTATATAATATATTTATAAATTAAATATGTTATTAATATATTAGTAATATATTATTAAATAAAAAATAAAATAATTAGAGAAATATAATAATGTTAAAAAAATTATAATAACTTACACAAAAAAGCACTTAGCGTGCCTTTTTATAGGCAAACGGTTCTATTATTGTAATGACTATCAAAATATTATATTGATTATTAATGTAATATTAAAAAAAGGCCCGTCAAATGCTTTTTTGTATAAGTTATTATAATTTTTTTAACATTATTGTATTTCTCTAATTATTTTAATTTTTATTCAATAATATATTACTAATATATTATTAACATATTTAATTTATACATATATTATATAGCCAAAACTACATATGTTTATAAAATTAATAAATGCCCAGTAAGCAAATTGAGTGCAGACTGCGCGCAGATTGGCAGCAAATTTGATCAAAATCCCACAGCAAAACCATAGCTATTTGTGTCTACATTAGGCTACGTTTGGCGACAGATCTTGCTGTCGGGCAATTGGTGCCAAATTTGCAGCAAAAACCGCGCAAAGCTTGCAGCAAGATCTGCGCGGTTTCTGCCGCCAATCTGCCGTCAAATCACTACAAGCTCTGCGCAGTTTTTGCTGCAAATCTGCAGCAATTATCCGACAACAAGCTCTGCCACATATCTGGTGACAATTTGGCAGCAAGATTTGATATAATAGATTCTGCATCAAATTTGTTATCTATTTGCCATCAAAAGTTGATAGCAAGCTCTGGTCAAAATCTGTTCGCGCAGGCTTGGCTATCTGGATGATTAATCATTCGCACTTAGCGAATGTAACCTCTTGATATCATTATTTTTGTAGAGAGTATATAAAATTGTCTTGTATTTTTCAATAGAATATTCACAAGAGTACAATTGATCTGAATAAGATTGTTTTAACAATATTTTTTCAAATATCTTTTGGCTGAGCTTTTGTTGTAATTAATTTAAAACGATTTTTTTGTAAAGTTTATTTATAACGATTTTTTTGTAAAGTTTATTTGTAGCGATTTTTTTTAAAGTTTATTTATAATGATTTTTTTATAAAATTTATTTAAATATTTTAATATATAAAAAAATTTATTTTAAATATCTTTTGTTCTAATTTAGGTAATTATTCAGTTTAGCTGCCTCACCTCCGATTTCGATGAATGTAGGCTCATTCGAAAGGTATTTGCACGAGTAACAACTTTTTCCTTTAAGAAAATCGGGGCTCTGCCCCGCGAAGCGAGATATTAATCGATAAAGTTGAAGACGCGTTAGGGTAATTGTTCAGAAGAGCTATCTCACCTCCGATTTTAATAAAAGAGAGCTCAATCGACGCGTTTATGCATGCCAAATTTTTTCTTCTGACAAAATCGTCGCGATTAATATCTCTCTACTGCGAAGCGAGATATTAATAGACAAAGTTGAGGGCGTGTTAGGTTAGAAAATCTGTCATACTATCTATCTCTAGCTATGTAACTGGGGGGCTTCGCCCCCCAGACC